CCTGCCCCTTCTTCCAAAGGTGGTAGGCTCTCCTTTTTTTCCTGAGTTCTAGCCAAAGCTCTCTGTCCAGCCAGGCCGGTCTTCTCCCCCGCCTGCTCGACTTGCGGCACATGGGGACGGCCTGCTCCTGCACCTTTAAGATTTCCTCCTTGAATAACGTCCAGCCTTCCTGGACTCCTTTGCCCTTCAGGACTGCTTCCCAAGGGACTCTGTTAACCAGACTCCCGAACAGCCCAAAGTCTGCCCTTCTAAAGTTCAGGGTAGCGGTCTTGATGACCCCCTTCCTTACCTCTCCTAGAATTGAACACTCTATCATTTCATGGTCACTGAGCCCAAGACAGCCTCCAACCACCACATCACCCACCAGGCCCTCTCTGTTCGTGAACAGCAGGTCCAGCGGGGCACCTCCCCTGGTTGGCTCGCTTTTTCTATTAACACACATTCTCCAACTCTGTGTAACAGTGCTAGATAGAAATTCAAAATTCCCTTTTGACCAATCTTTAACTAGTTTAAATACTTCATTCAGACTGTATCTGCACTGTCCTCAAAGACAAATCTAAATTCAAGTCTCCCCAGATAAACTATTTCTTTATTCTGTGTCTTGTTTTTCCATATTCTATCTCCAATATTAGGTTTTTTCAAAGATGATGTCTAAAACTAGACACAATGGCCTAACTTGTAGGAATTTGTTCAAATAATGCGGTATCTAGATAAATGAGTTGGATTTTAAACAGGACTTCCAAAGAGAACTTTAATCTCCACTAAAGTCTTCCTACGGACAGAATTCTAGTATTCCTGGAATGTTTCTCTCTTCCTAGAACCCTTAAAAGATAGGCTATTAATCAATATCCCAGGTTTTACTGAGAACAGAACTAAAAGGTAAAAGATGCGTGTGATTTTCTTTACTGGCGTAACGAACTCACACATTTCATTGACATTTATCCCATCCTTTTTCTTACCTTGAATTTTATGCTCTTTGCTTGAGATCCATCTCTGTATAACTGTTCTAACAGCCATAAAGAAGTAAGGACAGCAGCTGCTGATGTTTTCACATGTATCATTGGGAGAATCTCTTCTAAGGAATCTTGTTTATTGGAACCACAGAGCAGTCTTTTATCAGACCATCTGATCATCCACTCAAGCAATTTTGCAATATTGCTCAATTTACCCATCAATTCTATAGCTAGTTCTTCTCCTGGTACAATATCAACTATATCAACAGTTTTGTAAACGTATTTAGAAGTTGCCTGGGCTTGCAGGCTAGAGAAAGTATGGTTAGAAAAGGTCTGGCTTGCTGGTGCAAAGGTGACTCCTTGATTGTCACTCTGAGCTCGGTAAATTGACTTGTGTTTTAAACCAAATAATCCTTCATTAAGTCCTTTCATTAGGTTATGCACAGAAGGTTCTGTTGTCTGTACAATGGATCGTACAATGGTTGGATTTTCCAAAATATTTTGGTTTTCATTATAGACAGACACTGTTTCAGGACTGCAAGATGCCAGGGTGACAGTATAGAAAGACCCTGCTCTAAACACACTCTGGCTTTTAGTTTTGCCTTGTCGACGTTTCAGTGTTGTATGAACATCAAAAAAGAGAGAGTTTAATTCATGCTCTTGAAGAAGTCCAGAAAAGCTAGTAAGAAATGGAATTCCAAGGTCACTGTACTTTATCAGGTCTCTCTCAAGAACATAACTCAAAAAGAGTTCTAAAAAAATAACATATTCTTCATCATCACGTTCAAATTCCCATGCACCAACTACAGGCAAATTACATTGATTATGCATGTCTTTTCCATGTACTTTGTCTTTATGTTCTGTTTTCCAGTTAAGAACTTTCATCTTGCATGTGGCATTTTTGCTACCTATTTCTCCTTGTCTCTGATGTTCCCTATCCCTGTAAGACAACAAACAAACATAAGTACTCTTAAATCCATTTTGACAAGAATTAAGAAGAATGTAAAAACCATTTTAAGAAGAATTACATGAAAAAATAAGTAAATGCAATGTTAGTGTCTTTTTGTCCTCTATTGTTAAAAACAGGAAACTAACAAAACCAGATTTACATTAATACAACGTTAAGGTGGCAAATTAATGAAACACAAAATCCATAGTTTTTACATAGACAGCAACTCAGCAGTATCATACATGAACTTGATCATAGCTGATAATAATTGACACTTCAAAAACTAGTAAGTCACATAGTAACTGATACAACATTGGTAGTTATAAGATTTGGTGGATTTGCAATTCTTCATTTGGTAAATTACCCAAAGTGACAATTATCCTGTTTGGTGTAAAGATTACTTGAACAGTAACAAAGACAACTTTTTTCTTTTTTTTTCTTTTTTTTTTTAAATAGAAAGCTTTCTGCTGCCATTTTTTCCATACCTTTGGAGTGAAGGTGTTCGAGCACTCGTTCCTTCAGTAAGCAAAGTATCAGAAAGTGTATCTGCTGTGTCAGCATCACTATATACCTGAGAATTCCCAAGATCAGTAAGTGTGCTTCTGCTTAAACTAGTGCCTAATGAGAATCTGTCATAACAGTGCTCCTCATCATCTGCTGCTCCCTCTTCTGCTGGCTCCCAAATATTAGTTTCTATGGGGCCTATGTTCCTTATTACACGTCTCAAGGCCTTCATTCTCACTTTTTCAGTAGCTTGTATAATAATTGACATCTTTTATTCACTTTCAGAACCTACCCAAAGAAAGAAAACCAAGAGATTTTAAATGCAAACTTCTTGGTTTCCACTTACTCTCTTGAATTGAGACATGAATGAACTTTGAATCATCATAAATTATAGCCATTTAGAAATACAGACAGAAACTGTGATAAAGTGAAGAAACACCATCAACTTAAAAGTCATTATATTCTGTTATTGGTACAGACATATCAGAAAGAAAACAAAGAATTTGCCAGAAAACTCTCTCAAAGTTGTCTAACTGAAAACTGTAATAATTGTTTTACATGGGGTATGAAAGAAGGTATTGTCACGAGTTAATTAGTTAAGGTAAAAAAGAAAGTTAATTTAATATTTCCTGAAGAAGAATGCACACTACCTTTAACAATACTGTGTCTGAGTCGCTGCTGAAGACCATGATATTTATCTCTTAGTGGAACCCTTATATCTTCAGGATTAGGAAATGCTTTTACAAAAATCTCTGCCACCTGCACAAAATAAAGTATCTTTTCAAGTAGCTAACACACAAGTAAAGTATAATTTACAAGAGAACTTACACCACCAGAAAGTCTAACCAGCAGCATTTACAAGGAAAAGAAACATTCATGATGATCTCTATTGCTTTTGTTCTAGCTTTAATGTCTTTTACCTTTTTCACTGGTGGCAATTCTCCAAGCAGACTTAAAATTACATCTTGAATTAATTCTTCAACATTCATGAATCTGCAGAAAGGAAGCATTCGACAAGCCCACTCCACTGCATTCAGACAATGCTCAACTGTGGAGGCATCGTATTCATTCTTCTTCAGATCCTAAAAAAACCCACCTTGCTATAGAAACATTAATTCATATGAACAATATATTTCAGCTGAATTATTCATACATTGCAAATTGTAATGATTCTTCCTTAGCCAACAGAAAATAAAACCAGCTAACTTAACAGCCAAACAGAGAAGTATATGATGCTAGGAGACAGATCAAGGTTGTAATGGACCATAACATATATCAAAAAAAAAAAAAAAAAGAAATGAAAAAAAAAAAGAGCTTTTTTTAAACCAGCTTAGGAAATAATTCCATTAACACACTGCTGAAGAGTCTGTTTGCAGTCATTTAGAGTTAAACTTCAGGATTTGATTAAACTAGCTGTAACTGATTAAATATACTGAATTGCCAGATGAAGTAACTGATTTTACTGTGACTTAAGGTGATCATAAATTCTCTCTTGGGAGCAAGATATTTAAGCCAGCCAAGAGGCTTTTAAGATGGATCAGTTTATTTTGAAATAGTCAGTGGTTTCTATCTCATTTGTCACTCACACAAAGCACAGAAAAATCAGAATATTCTACTATTTGTAACAGAACCATCCTGAGCATTTGAAGCTTGATTTTTCTGGTGAAGAGAAATTTGGATTTGTTTTAAAAAGGGCACAACCTTTGATAAGGACAGCTGAGTTGCTAGACTAGATAGGACAAAAATCAACATCTGTACTGTTACAGAATACATGTGGCATTATATACTATATATATTATATAGTATGTATAATAATAATATATATTATATACTGGCATAATATAATGCCAGTAGTTTCCTTCTTTTTCTTCCTTGACCTCTGACATATTGATGAGGGTATAAGTAGAGAAAAAGTGATTGAATGTTCATACTTTTCATTATTCTTTTTGAAAACCAATGTATATTTAATGCACCAAATATACATTGGTCAGGAAACACCCAAAATAACTTAACCTAATAAAAAAAAAGTAGTAAATACTTTATCTAGACAACAAGTCTAGAAACTATTGAAGAGACACTGCCAGAAGAGCAATTATCTGAGCTAAATACCAAGCAAAAGCCCAACAGAAATACTATTAGAAAGATGTAGTTCACATGGACAGCACTATTCTGCAGCATCGAATACTTACTGCACATTATAGCACTATGCTAATTTTGTCCTACTAAACAAGTGAGAGTTCTCACAGAAATATAGAGATCTTTACAATTCTTCTTACAGCTTTATGCAATTAAAATGTATGTTTACTGTAGTAGGAATATAATTACCTTCTGATTGTTAATATTTTCCCTTGCAGTTTGGTACTGCCTACAGCTGTCAGATAATCTTTCACGAACGTGAAACATCCAACACAATGCACATAGCTCTCTGAACCAACCTATAACACAAACATGCAATATGGTGAGATTCTATTTGAATAAATGAAATAAAACAGTTTGAGACTTTTAGATAGAAGAAAGGAATTAACATCATCTTAGCAATAAAGAAAAAAATTACTCAAAAACTTGTTTTCAACAGTGCTTTGCAGCTAGACCTGTGCAGTGTTTAGAGTTAGTTAGACCTGTAGTGTAGAGTTTCTTTGCACCTGTGGATTCTCACTTGTGTTCTTTTTTCCAGCCCTAAATTAGTGTATTTTATTGCATACAGACCTAAAATTTTACATGTAATATCATCAAACTGATGGTCTCCAGAAGATGTAGATCTATAGAAAACAGTGCGGAAATTGGAGTAACGAAGCAAAGTCTCTGGGATTGGACTCAGTGAAGGAAGAGATCCTTTCATTCGAATCTATAGATAGTAAAAATAAATAAATGATCAATTATTTAAATATAATTTGCCAATTTATACATGTATCAACAAATTTTATTTGCATGTCAAAATGGAAATAAAAATCAGTTACAGCTTTGTATGTATCACTATTAAGTGTACAGCCTCTCAGTTATTAGCAGAATACTGCCAAGATAAGTAAAATTCCCTTAAGCTTGCTTCCCATTTTCTTCAAATCAGTATTCTGAAAATTCATTTAAAGCAATATGTTTAGTATAAGCTATGGCACAAAAAATGCTTTTGTTTGCATGGTACTCGTGATACTCATGATTACCATGAAATGCAAGAGCAACAAACTATAACAAGAACTAAGATCACAATTAAGAAACCAGTTTAATCCAGCACAGTCCGGGCTGCTGCCAAACAAAGCAGACTAGTTTTCTCTCCTGTTTCAGTTGCTACTTCTGATCACCTCCCTGTGCCAGCATTAAGCATTAAGTGTGACCATGCAATGAGCAAAAAGAAGGAAATATTTATTTGTCAGTCGGACCAGTTCCAGATCTAGATCATTGCATGAATGCTGGTGCAGAGGGGTTGAGGGAAGGCAGACAGTCACACACACATCCTTCTGTAGCAAGTCAACCTTCTGTCGGCAGCTGTGTAACAATGACTTATGAAAAGCCTGAGGTTACACAAAAAATTTTTATCAATATATTCTGAGTTTGTTCTATGCGAACAAAATGCACATGAGTAGAATGAGATCTTATAAGCCCCCTGCTCTGTGCACTAAGATGACCACTTTACCTGAAGCAAGCATCACGTTCTCTGTTACATATTCAACCATAAATGATCTGGAAGACACTTCCAGTTAGCAGCTATAAATCCCAATTAAAATCAGCTTGTTTCTTTCAAATGGAGACAGAAGTAAGTTTGTACTTTAACAAGTAGATACAGAAAGACGCATAGAAGGAGAGACTTCTATGAAGCAGATGGTCTGTATCTTTAAGTTTTGGTTTCCTAAAAGAACTGAACATGGAGTGTAAAAACTAGCAGACAACATGTAAAAAAACATGACATCATCAAAGGCCAGATAAGACTGAAAGCTTCTGCAATGCAATTGCAAGCTTGTCAGTAATATTTACTACTGATAACCGAGTTACAAGAAAACGAGTTGAATGCTTACTTTTTGCATAACTTTTCTTGCCCACTTCAGTTGTGCAATATACCACTGTGCTGCAGGGCAGGAACAACGAGCAGCCCGGAGGAGCAAGATAATTCGCTGAAGGACTCCTGACACTTTCTGACGACTTTCTCTCTCAATTTTTAAAAGAATGTCATTACAGTCTTCCTGAAAAATGCAAATTCAAAGACAAAAACAAACGTCAAAATTAGAAAGGACACATACAATAAGGAATCTGACCTAAACATTGTTTCTGCCACTAAGAACATCTCCCTTCTTCTTTAGAGCACAGATGCTTTATGGAAAAAACACAGAGGCACACGTACTTTCTTATCACTATGGTGCTACTTAAGTAAATGAATGGACATGGAAAAAACAGACAGAAAAATGAGCTGAAAGGAACCAGAATAAAGATCATGATTATTTCATAAATACATTCAACAAAAGACCCGAGAAACTTCTATCATTCGTGCTTACTTCACTGAGAGAAGCTGGCTGAGGACAGTATAATGGTGGTGCTGGAAGATAAAGCCCATCTGGAACTAAACCATACAATTTTCTGCTAAGATCCTTGGCAGAATCCATCAAAAGCTGAAATGTCTCTGAGAGGATATCAGCATCTGCCATAACAGCTGCTTTCAGTAGTTCCTGTATTGAACTATAAAGAACATTTGCATCTTCTTCTTCAACGGGATCTATAAAATATTAAGCACAGAAACCAATAAATTAATTGACTCAGTTATGGCCTTCATTCTGAAATTACGAGGCTATGTTCTCAGAATTTGCACTCATCTATTACAATGCATACACTGCATCTACTTGCTTTAAGGTAAGATCTCTCACATTTGAAAATAGCATTCAATTATTAATTTTCGTTTTTGCCACATTAAGGGGGAAGCAACTGCCTTTCTAGATAGAGAACTGAAGTTTTCAGCCATGCATTTGCTTGGCATAAAATTCTTGCAAATCATTCTCACCAAGCAGGCATAAGCTAGGTACGCTATTAATAATGACTATAACAACTCTTTCATCAGTGAGCATGATGACCAAGGAAAAGGAAATGCATTTGTTTGATATCTTTCACATATTATTACATTTTTTCCTGATCTCCTAGAAGTAGCAGGACCTTTAACATACATTATTAATTGGTTCCTGAAATTCGCACAGTATTATACTGCTCTGCTTCCCTTTCTACTCCTCCTCATCTTGAAATACATGCTGCTAAATCTTTCCACTACCTATCATACTTACAGATTGCTATACACAGCTCATATACGTGTGTGTGTCTGTTTGAAATAAAATCCCTGGAAATGAGTACTAAAGAAGAATCTACACAGTGTTTGGGATACAGCTTAAAGGTTAATTAACATCCACCTGCTGACAGGAACTTGAAATGTGGTTTCCAGACACATAAAAAGAGAATAAGGAATAGAGATCGTGCCAGCAAACTTTCTATAAAATGTAAACAAGGACAGGTTGATCTAGCTAACTGGGGGAATTTCAGCAGTAAAGTATTAAGTTAGGTTACGTGATGAAAAGCTCATATACACGCACACACACAAAGGAGCACAAAGACAATAGAGGGTGGGGGAACCTGCATAGTACCTAGACCCATCTACTCACAGGAGAAAAATCAACCGATGAAAGGCTCAGCTCCACAAGCCCAGAGATGCACAACAGCGAATTATGTACTCAGAGAAATGGACACCCTGTCCAGGCGCCTCCCAGGAGAGCCATCAGTCTCAGTGTCCCAGTATCAAACCTATGAAGATGAGCCAATGGGAGTGGCTCTCTTCAGTACCTTTTAGGTGAGGAGGGGTTACTGTCAAGAAGGATAGGACATACTACAGGATGCAGGGGAAGAGCTTTTGGGGATTGCACAATGCTCATTAGAGGATCTTTAGGAAAGAAACCAAAGGTATGGCACGGAGTTGTGGCAGCCTCATCTCCGTTGGGCCCTGTCAGCACAAGTCTTTTCCCAGGTGAGAGACTCTCTAGTCTGTGTATAGGATTTTCAGTGCCAGCAACTGGAATGGGACCACGGGTCTGTGTGTCTGGGATGCCAGCAACTGCAGAGACTGGAGTTAAGTCAAAGCAAGGGCCAGCAACTGGAGAGGGACCATGGGTGAGCGTGCCCATGTAACCACAGTGCCAGCAACTGGAGCAAGCGAGGCTATGTAAGTGAATGCGTGAGTGCTAGCAAGTATCAAGTCTTTGGGGGCTCATATCTCTTTGATTGGGGCCCCAATCTCTTTGGGGGCTCATATATGCAGACACCAGCAACTTGGAAGACTCAGCCACTGGGTCTAAGCCCACCTACTGCAGGAATCCGCACTGTACATACAGGTATGTGTAGGCAGACCTTCATTCTGACCAGTAAGTGGGAAATGGGATGGGATTGTTGGTGCTGTTGTGCAAGTGCTGAGCACGGCTGTAGGTGTTGATCTGTGTGGCCAGCTGTATACAGGTGTTGTGTATGTGCCTAGTGGGAATACATTCTCAGCCTTGCCAGCTGTTGGACCTGGGGGCATGGAGCTGTCAGGCTATGAGATACCACCCCTTCCCCCCTTAACAGAAAAGAAAGGCAAAAATTAAACACCATCATATAACTAATTTTAAGTATGATATTTTCCATACTGTTAATAAATTCACATTTGTTTCAGGGCCCTTTTTTTTTTTGTTGTTGTTGTTGTTAATGAAGCTTCAGTTTTCTTCCAAACTGAAACTAATATCGAATATAGTCAAATAAGGTTTTGGCTGTTACACATGAAGAAGACAAGATTGATAATATGGCCCATTTTTAGAACGATAAAAGCCAAAACTCAACCCCTATAAAATTAAAGGATTTGAACACTTTATAACAGTAATGCACACATTGGAGAAGATGAGGTAATTGTTTCTTTTTAAGACAGCGTATAACACAGAATATGCAGTGAAATAACATGAAAAATAAACACAATTATTTACACTTCTATGTACCTGTAAACTGCTTGTATTTAATACATCCTGATGTTTCAGAAGTAACTGGCTGTCCTAATAAAGATTGCAACTTTTCCTGAAAAGTCTGCATTGGTGATAAGCTTAATGGCAGGTGACACTCTCTGTTTTTCAGTCTGCAAGTATAACAAGAAACTATTCATTAATAACAAAGTAAAGCCCACAGATAATCTAATGAAGCTCTGTTAAAGGAATATCTAAGACAAAATAACTCATCTTAACATGTTAGGTCCTACACTTACTAGCAGTCTGGGAATATGAATTTCTGCAGCAAAGGATCTGCCTTGTTACAATAAACTTAATGAAAATAACATTAACAAAATATAATATACTAATTCCAAGCTCAAATTTACCTTGAGAATTCATCAGAGTTCTGACAATACAGCTGGTAGGCCACACCAATTGAAACAGACAGTTTCCAGTTCCCAAGTCTGTGTGTTAACCACACAGCCTCTGGAATGAGTCCGCCAATAAAGAACAAATCAAGAGCATATTCAGCTGTCCACACAGATGAAAGGTTCTGGTCCCTGACAGCTCTGGTAACCAAACAGTGTTGTAGCGGAATAATACGAGGAGATAAGTCTGTGACACAAAAAACACATTTTAAAGTTTAAATAAATCTGCATGCTATCAGGTGAATAATCTAGAATTCATGTTCATATTGCTTTTGGATTCATTTCAGTATACCATTACTCTTTATTAGAGGCACACTACGGGGCTTATCTGCAGCAGGCAGATGCAGATCATGCTATGATATAATAGTGAGGTCAAAGTAGGCTATTTTTCTGCTTAATAATGTGGGATATGCAAGCATGTGCAAAACTTGTGGGTTATTCTTACTTGAAAGATTTAATCACACTGATGGAACATTTGCAAGTATGCTACATATGCTTAGGATATTCCAGAGGGTATACCTGAGATAAATGGAAATTCTGAGAGTTTTCCTAGTGTACCCATGTTGTTTGTACTCACTGTGCTGCTTATTGTAGAAGACTGAAAGCTACAATGCATTTTCAAGAAAGAATAGCACATTATTTTAAGAGAGTGTATTGAGACAAACTGAAGACAAATTTAGTATCTCCTTGTTTCTTGAGGTTTAGATTTGTTTTGCAAGGTTTTACTTCCTGGTTTTCCTTGAGAGGTGCTGATTGGCCTTACCTCTAAGGAGTTATTTGCTTCTCTCACAGTTTCTGTTTACTGTTGAGGCAATGACATTATCTAAGGAAATATTCAAACTAATCCAGCTTGTGCAACACAGTTTTTCCAAGACTGTCTCACCATGTACATGGATCTGACTAATGCAAGTATTAAAATTAAGGTCTATTTTGTAGGTTTTATAGTCAATAGTCCATATATTCAAATACACTGCAGAAAATCTAATAAATCAAAATAAGTTAATACTGTAGAGAAATATCTGACATTATCTTACAATTACAATACTTAGAATACTTCCAAATAACTCTTCATTCCTGTAGACATTAAATCACTTTGAAAAATTAACTCTCAAACCAAAGATTTCCTAACATGGGAAATCATTAAACAGAATCTCTTGCAGAAAATAGACAAACCGCCCACGGTAATAAATGCTAATTCTCAGAAAAATGCTAAAAAGCAGGGCTTAAACTAACAAGTACTACTTGGGTTCAACAACAAACTAACCTGACATTCCCACTTGCTCTGATGATACAGTGTCTGAAGCATTTTGGCTTCCAAGAGCTTAACTGTCAAATAACCAAAAAATGCTTTCCTCTGGCTTTTCAGTTTGGGCCACACCACATCACAAATCCAGTTCAACTCTTTGTTAAGCACTGCTTTTCTCTAACTTTTGGGAGCATCAAAGTCAGTCAGAGCCACATCTTTAGGCAAAAGTAGTGCAAGAACCATAAAATTCTAACGTAGCTTAGTTTAGGTGAAAAAAAAAAATACAGCATTCTTTTACCTGAATATCAGATTTAGATCACTAACCTCAAAGCATGGGGAAAAAAAAACAAACAAAAAAACCAACAACTTGAAGAAAAAAAGAATCAATACATTGGGAGGCAGTTCTGAAGGGCAAAGTAGTCCAGGAAGGCTGGACATTCTTCAAGAAGCAAATCTTACAGGTGCAGGAGCAGGCCATCCCCATATGCCAAAAGACAAGACAGTGGGGGAGAAGACCACCAGCCTGGCTGAACAGAGAGCTTCGGCTGGAGCTCAGGAAAAAAAGGATTGTTTATGACCTTTGGAAGAAGGGGCAGGCAACTCAGGAGGACTACAAGGATGTTGTGAGGTTATGCAGGGAGAAAATTAGAAGAGCCAAAGCCCAACTAGAATTAATCTGGCCACTGCCATAAAAACACAATAAAAAGTGTTTCTACAAAAACATTAGCAACAAAAGGAGGGCTAAGGAGAATCTCCATCCTTTATTGGATGCGGGAGGAAACATAGTGACAAAGGCTGAGGAAAAGGCTGAGGTACTTAATGCCTTCTTTGTCTCAGTCTTTAATAGTCAGACCAGTTGTTCTCTGGGTACCCAGCCCCCTGAGCTGGAAGACAGGGAAGGGGAGCGAAGTGAAGCCCCCATAATCCAAGGGGAAATGTTTAGTGACCTGCTACACAACGTAGACACACACAAGTCTAAGGCGCCAGATGGGATCCACCCAAGGATACAGAGGGAGCTGGTGGAGGTGCTCACCAAGCCACTTTCCATCAGCTACCAGCAGTCCTGGCCAACCAGGGAGTCCCAGTTGACTAAAGATTACCAAATTTGTACGAGAAATAGCGAGGCCAGCAGTAGTCAGGGAAGTGATCGTCCCCCTGTATTCGGCACTGGTGAGGCCGCACCTCGCGTACTGTGTTCAGTTTTGGGCCCCTCACTACAAGAAGGACATCGAGGTGCTGGAGTGTGTCCAGAGGAGGGCAATGAAGTTGGTGAAGGGTCTAGAGCACAAGTCTTATGAGGAGTGGCTGAGGGAACTGGGGTTGTTTAGCCTGGAGAAGAGGAAGCTGAGGGGAGACCTTATTGCTCTCTACAACTACCTGACAGGAGGTTGTAGCGAGGTGGGGGTTGGTCTCTTCTCCCAAGTAACAAGGGATAGGGCAAAAGGAAACAGCCTCAAGTTGCACCAGAGGAGGTTTAGATTGGATATTAGGAAAAATTCCTTCACTGAAAGGGTTGTCAGGCGCTGGACCTTAGGGACATGGTTTAGTGGTGGACTTGGCAGTGCTAGGTAAATGGCTGGACTTGACAATCTTAAAGGTCCTTTCCAACATAAATGATTCTGTGATTCTATGCTATGGATGACATAATTCAATTGCACACATCAAACTATTAACTTCAAATATGAAAAATATTTTCAACAATCAAGAGATGCAAAACATTAATCCCCACACACAGACACACACAGCCCCTCAAGAAAAATATCTGGAAAAACTAAGTTATTTTATCTCTACAGTTAATGGTGCTGAAACCATAAATCACCAAGTTAAAGCATAACAGACAGCATTAATATACATGTAAAAAAACAATAAGAATTAAGCACAGCAAATTAAACTGCTTTTAGAGAAAATACCTTGTTTGATGTGTAGCGGGTGCAGGATGTCAACATTGTGTGGGGGGAAGATATAGAGCAGCTGATTTGTGAAATAAGCGGCCATGAATCGTGCCATGGATCGAATCACAGCCATAGCAGTTTCAGTATGAACATCTGTTACCATCCATAGTTCATGCTGAAAATACCTGGTATCTAAAAAAACAGGTACCAAATTAAAAAAACTATGAGGAAAATTATTTTAAATTTGATTACTAAAATTGTTTAATCTTATAAAACATTATTTTAAGCTTATAAAACATTTTTTTTAAAACAAGCGAACTGTGGTATTAATTTCTTGACAAGCTTTCCGGACTTGCAGAGCTTAATCTTATACTAGGTTTAATGACTGGAGATGGATCTCTAGTATCTAAATTTAGATCAAAAAAACCCTTTAAATTTGGAAATTTAGATTTCATACTCTCACTTAATAGAAAAAAAAGTTACAAGCATCTGCAAAAAACTCCCACTGTCAATTTAGGACCGGTGACCAATCTAAATCCACTATTTTATCATGTTGTATCATAAAAAAATGTTAAATTAATATAAAATGAAATCACATCATTTCCCCCTTTTTTTTCTTATCCAATGTCTTTCATTGAGCAGATTTGAATCTAAGAACATTTAACAGGCCATGCTTTCACTATTAATTATAAAATGAAACTTGTCTAAGCACTTACTCCAAGAAGTGCAGCTGAAAGAACAACTGAAGATCAGAAAAAGATCTTTAAAGTCATTTAAAAAAGAATTCAGTCCAGTGTAAAGAGAAAAGCATGCTGTCAAGCGTGAATGTGATGGCACAGAAATCAGACACTACGTTATTCAAACAGTATCAACATACCTTATCACACTTTCATGCAATATAAACATACCAGAAAATTTTTCCATCTGACTCCCTGAGAGCTGTGATCGTCTTAGAATCTCTGCTACCAGATGATCACAAAGTCCCTGAGCCTCACACAAGTTATAATGATACAGGTGGCAAAATAATATTGCAAGATAATATCTACTCTGAAGAAAACATGTTCTTTTTCCTCCTGCATTAAACGAGAAACAAGGGCAGAAGTCCATTTGGAAAAGAAACAATAAACACAAAAACAGACACAGCAGGTTTCAAAGTACTAGTTCCTCCCTCTCCAGAAACATATCTATGTAAACATATATTCTGAGAAGTAGAAGTCAGTAGCAGCTACTTTAGGAGATACGATCCTCCTACAACCTCCAAGTTACCAGTGAGTTAATGCTCATCCACAACAGGTTTATTTCTAGAGATCTGGCAGCTTTCAAAACAATAGTGTTGTCATGGTTTAACCCAGCAGGCAGCTAAACACCACACAGCCATTCGCCCACTGCCCCCACCAGTGGGATGCGGGAGGGAATTGGAAAAAGGTAAAACTCATGGGTTGAGATAAAGACAATTTAATAGGACAGAAAAAGAAGGGAAAATAATAATGATAAAAATACACAAAACAAGTTATGCACAATGCAATTGCTCACGACCCACTGACTGATGCCCAGCCAGTTCCTGAGCAGCAGTCCTGCCCCACCCCAGAGAACCCCCCCAGTTTTTTTGCTCAGTGTGACATCATACGGTACAGAACATCCCTTTGGTCAGTTTGGGTCAGCTGTCCTGGCTGTGTCCCCCTCAGCTTCCTGTGCACCTTCAGCCTCCTCGCTGGCAGGGCAGTATGACAAGCTGAAAAGTCCTTGACTTAGTATAAGCACTGCTCAGCAACAACTGAAACATCAGTGTGTTATCAACATAATTCTCATCCTAAATCCAAAACACAGCACTATACCAGCTACTAAGAAGAAAATTAACTCTATCCCAGCCAAAACCAGGACAAGTGTATAATTGTTAAGACACAAAGACAGGAGATCTCTTTTGTTCATCAGTGTTTTTCATTGTCTCTTTTTTGCTCAGAAATATACCTCGAGCTTTTCTGTACCGAGTACTTCATAAGAAGTACTACACAAGAAAACTCTGATATTAAAATACAAATGTATGGAATTTTCTCAGGGAGTAATCAGACTTAAGTTTTGACTGGTCTCTATTCAAATCCCAGCTTAATTTCAAATATGCATCCTTTATGTGTCTTGCCCCCTTTTTCTGAAGGGCAAACAAAGTCACAAATAACTACATAAAGTGATTATACAACTTACCCCCTCCACCCCCAAAAATGATTTTATCCCTTACCTTTTGCCTTGACTTCGCAAAGAGATCTTTTCCAAATGTCCACAGATTCCCTGTATGAGCCTAAAAGGAACTTCTCCTCACCTATAAAAGTCACATATATAACAAATTAAAAGCTGTACATAGTTAGCTTTACATGTGCAAACACACATGCACTGACTTAAGTATTACAGATTTATGAAAAGCAGAGTCAAATATGTGGGTCTCCAGCAAATTTCTATTCTCAGAGCTAACTCTAAGTTTTGAGCATCTGAGAGAAGATGATTTTGAATACCCCTTCCCATCTTTTTTTTTAATTGCTAAATCACTATTAAATGAAAAAAAACAATTCAGGTTATAATCAATCCTACAAGGTTTTCAGTAATTAGGTTATTTTTTTAGATTACACAAAGTTATAAATGTTAACTATAGTTAGAAACTTCAGTCTTCAAAACCCACAATAGTTTATTAATGGGGAAAAGCATTTTCTCTTATCTATTTTCCTATTTTCTATAATGTGGAAGATGTTTTTTCATTGTAAAAAGTAGCTGTAAAATTATTTAGCAAGTTGAACATATACTTTTTTTCAGTGTAAATGCACTTTCAAACAACAGGTCTATGGACTGTTACACATTTCATCTTTCTAGATGTCACGTCTCCACCTCTATTCCCATTCCAATTTTTAATCCATTCCCTAATACTTTGACAGAAAGGTGACTGTAAAAGAGCACAGCTCCTGGACAAATGAGAAGGAGGAAAAAAAAAAAATAGTGCTACCATAGAAGAAAAGACAAGGACAAATTTGCCACTCTATCCTGCTTATCAGCAGCTAGCCAGTTCAGGTACTGGCTGGCCCATCAGCATGTATGTTACTCTAGCTCATCCATAAACCATGCTGTATGTATTTGGCCAACAGAACGTAAAAAAAGAACATACGGAATGGGTGGAAAGGAAGGGCGGGAAGTTGCATGTATTGTTAGGATGGGTGAAAGAGACATGAAGGAGCTAATGCATTGTATGGAGTCACGTAGGAAGAGAAACTAGAAGTATCATTTAAGTGAGAGAGAGAAAGAATATGGACACGAAACAGAATTGTGGAGGGAGACACAAATGGGAAGCTGGGCTTATTAGTGTAAGGGAGAAAGGAAGATACAGCATAGGACAGTAACGTGTAGGAAATTAGGCTACAATCATATACTGTTTGCAAAATAAGCACGCTAGATTAAGTCTATTACATTAGGTTACACCAAATTAGATGCTTAATTGAGGCTGACTACATTCATGTACACGACATGCTCATGCCCACAGTGATCACATGGAGTGAACAGGATTTCTACATGGAAATCCAGTAAGAGACATATTGTGATGCCCATCTACTTCAGAGGAAATAATACACTACAAATGAGATCAGAATTCAGATCCTGCCTTCAGATTCTCTAGGACATGATTCACAGCAAACTAAAGTCTATACAGTCTTTTTATTTAGCTCAACAAGCTCTAAAGATCATAACACAATCTACAGGTGTACTGGGACATGATGTATTTAAGACAGAGTTCTGATCAGAATTTTAAGTCCCACTATTAGCTTTTTTTAAAATCTGGTGGTCAGTTATTGTCTAGTTGGACCTAATTTTCCTAGTATGCAGTTAACCATGCAACTACCTAACATCTGTAGTTCTTTTCAAAGTACTAACCAGATACAGAATTAATCTTCAAATGTTGCTCTAAGGTCATTCCTGAAGACTGAAGGGTGGCTTGTATGTGACCTAAAAGTGACGAGACAACAGACTCTTCTTCTGCATTCTTGTTCACTTTTCTGTTCAACTGCATCTGATACCAAACCACTTTCTTATACAATAATCGCCATAGTACAATCAACCTGTAGTTCAAGAAGTACAATATTATGACAATCATCACAAGTTAGCAAAGCTACTTACATTGATTTCTTATTTTCTTAGATTTTGCATTATGTATCTAAAAACAAAATTTTATTTTCTGTTAACAACTACTTTCTTGGCTTCAACAAGGGGAAAAAAATTAAGGACTTTTTGCCTTGGTTTTTGGTTTTTTTACCAACAAACACTGATTCTTCTGAATTTGCCTAAACACAGCAATCTACTTCAAACACCCAAACACACCCAAAATGAATCCCTTGCTATCTAAACAATGGGGAAATGAAATAACCTAGATAAACCTCAAAACATGTATCAGTGTCTTTATAAACAAGACCAATTAAAAATACAAAGAAAGCGTAACACAGAAAAGCAAAGACAGGGAAACAAAGACTGCAGAACATGTTTTTAAGGCTGTCAAGTCCCTGCTGTGCTACACAATACCATTAGATGTACCAGCTCAGATATGTAACAAGCTTGCCGCCACAAGCAAATACACATGGCCAGGGACTTGAAAAAGCTTGCACAGAACTGCAACACATCTGCATCTTCTTCTCTAGCGCTACTGCTTCCATTATTAATACATACAGAGTCAGTCATATGCACAGTGCTCAGTACCTGGAGGACAATTAATCAAAAATGTGGGTTATCTTCTCAGAGACAACTGAAATTTCCCTATCAAATTTCCAATGAACAAAGTATTACATTTTAAGTTTATTGAAGAAATACATTTTACTGTAGTAAGATTAAATTTGTGAGTTATAATGCTTCTTAGGTTCTAAATCTCTGGAAAAGAACAGCTTGTCTGTATGATTAACACACTTGGATTCGAGTTCTGTAGTAGAAAAATACTCCAGTGACAATAATATACTTTCCCAATAGATAGCACACTTCAGCTTAAGCTTCTTTCAAGTTCATGCGTGTATCTTCAAAGAATAGCTCTGATAGTTTAATAAGTTTCCACACACTGAGGTTTTTCTTATTGCTCTGGGACACCATATCCATAATCAAGTGCAAACGTTGCTGACTAAATTGACATTGTAGATATAGTGCATATGAGCAGCCTCTTGGCCCCATAGAGTTCGGAACTTTTGCATGGGAAA